CCCAATTAGCTGTTCATTGTCAAAAATGCATTTCAAAAGCCATTTAGGAACTGGTGTAGGCTCACTAGCCTCAGACAGAATCCATTTTCGAAGGAAAGAATAGGACTCGCCGGGGCTGACACTATTATTGTACTGGACCAGGAGCTTGCTGTGGGATAAGGAATACGTCTGAAGATTTTCCGAAAAAGCTATTGGCAGCAAAATCCTAGCATTTGTTGCCGAATATATCAACTCAACTATCCGGGCTAAATAAAAAGTCCATTTATTTTCGTCTGTTAAATCTCTTCTTGGTACACTACAAAGTTTTGAAATTATATTTATCAGGTCCTTTGGTTGCTCATCTAGCCATTTCTTTGAATTGTATGAAAGGAGATGGTCAGTTGAAATTAGATTTTTGTCCTTATACAAGAATTTCACATCCTTTGCGATTTACTCATTAATACTTTCCAAAGATTCGTCAATGTCATTAGCACACTCCACAACAGTTTCACTACTAGGACCTACAACTGCCAAGTCAACAACTTCCGTACTTGAATGTGAAGTAGATGCAATGTCAGACGCGACTAAAGACAACTCTAAACAACCATTACAAATGTATTTAGTTTTCTTACTGATCACACCTAAGTCATATAATTTCTTCAATTTTTCTTTACCAATTTTGCATCCAGAATGAAGACTATTAAGCTTATCCCAACCAATGTGAGCTGCCGATCCACATGCAGTTTTGAAACAGCCCCGATGTGAACTTCTTTGAGAGCCTTTTTTCAATTTGTCTGTTTTTGGCATTACACAATACTCATCGCTTAAAAAAATCAAGATCGGCTTTTGCACTACTTTGACAATCCTCTTGAAACGGAACAGTGTTGTAGAAATGACTCGGTGAAATACAGGCCTCAGAGGCGGATCCAGCGGAAAATCTGAGGGGTGCTTAAGGGCGTTGCTTCAATAGCCATAATAATGCCACACCCCACTTTTACTTACGGTTAAATGAAGGCAACACCCATCTTGATAAATTAATCTTTTTTAAATTCAGGTAATAAAGCATAACTATATAGAAAATTATCTCTTTTGTTAGAAGCCTATATGCTAGCAATGCTAGTTAAAAATAACACTGCTACCTTCGCAGATTGTACATCACATTAATCAATGAATGACATTTTAGGTCGTTAGTCAATATTTGATTGCTCTGCAATATTCAGACACTGGTTCATTTTTGTAAAAAGGCAGTTAAAATGTTTCAAACAAAAAAAAGCAAAATGAATCATTGCTACGTTAACTGACCATTACTATACGAAAATTGAGTTGAATATCATTGAGTCAAGATAAAATGGATTGGGTATACCCTAAGTGCCAGAATCCGCTGAGTCATGATTTTCATGAATCCATGCTATTGGTTGACCTTGAACTGGTCACATGAACTCACCTCGTACTGATTGACAAAACAATTTCCATCAATAGCAAGTTGTCAACAACGGATGCAAGTATCACATGAAACAGCAGCGATCACGCCGAATCCAAATGACCCCCTATAGAGAAGGCCTATTTACCATGACTCAATGTCTTTAAATCAATACTTGTAAGAATTTGTTGATAAAAATTGATTGTTTTACTAAGAACCTTGTGTTGAAGTAGTACGTTTTTGGGGTCATCTGCATTTGGCAAGAAATGGGTATCGATTTCATTCTGGTAGTAATTACCATACCGCCCAAACAACCAAAAATCCTTGGCACCACTTTTTTGGGGGTGCGCATTTTTCTCTGTAAAATTCGATATTTTTGTCGAATTAATCCAAGAAATATTCTGTTAAAACGTTTTGCATTTAAAGCCTGGTAAAAGAAACTACAAACCAGAAAGGCCGAAGGTCAGAACTTCCACGGGACAGTACTTGAACCTTTGGCATTTGCAGTTCAGCGAACTCATTGATCTGTGTATTCCCACAAGTCACGACACCACCATCCACCACGCACTTATCAAAAACTTCTCTCACGATTGACTGAATACTCAAAAGCTCGTTTTCCCTTTCAATTTCTTCAGTCGACTGGCAACCAATTACCGAGAACACCTGCAACAGCAATGACTTTATGTCCGCCATTGCTGCTACACGAACAGGTTTAGTCGTTTCAGTGACGGTATGCACCAGTGTATATTAAATGGTTGATAGGGGTGCTCAGATGAGCCGAAATTTGGCAAACGGATTGGTTGAAGCCTTGTTTTGATTGATAGGGGTGCTCGACATTGCGGAAAAACATATCAGAGCGTGATGTGATTGGCTCAGTTGCAACTTTAACCTTAGAGGTTGATTGATAGGGGTGCTCAAGCACCCGTAGAATTGAAGTAGCTCATTAGCCGAGAGTGTGGTTTGATGGACAAGTAAAAAAATTGGTTCCAGGGCAGCTCAACATGAAATTTCTAGCTATTTATAGTTTAAAGCAGATACAGGTTATGCTAACTAAAGCATGACCGTATGTCATCAGTTTACTGGAAAATGCATTTACATCATCTAAAAGGATTCAAGACGTTTTTCAGAGATTAGAGAAAATGCATTGAATGTTATATCTCCGAAAATTCTGACCGGTGCTCAAGCACCCATAGCACCCCCCTAGATCCGCCTCTGAGGCCTGAGTTAAATAATAGCCCTAATACCCCGAACAGGAGACATTTTTAAAGCCTTTTTGCATGAAGAGGCACACCCCCTGGAAGATAAGATATCGAAAAGCTCTAGTTAGTCAATAGTTAGTAAATAGTTAAGTAAATAGTTAGTCAAGAAAGTTATATGTTGAAAGCAAGGCCAAGGTTGAAACTCTTGTCTGTGTCAAAATAATAATGGCAAGCCTACTAAAATAATATCAGTGGAGAGAGAATACCATCAATTAGTCAATAAAAGGGTACCACGTTTTTAAAATAAAACCATGTGATGCAGTACCCTTGGAGGTTTGCAGAGATCATGGCAACAAATTCGACCAGCATGCCATACTGGTTAACATGCCTGCAAATGTACCTCAACATTTGTTAGAAAAGGAAACCATGCCAGCAAGCTCGAAGCGTTCTATGCAAAGGGTATGCGATATCCT